CACACACACACACACACACACACACACACACACACACTAACCCAGGCATCTGCATTCCTACAAAGGCCACTTTACCTTTTTAGTCTGTTTACCTGAATATCCTGGCGATATTGGTGCAGATATCCTTGTCGTCCAGGTAAAGTTCCATCACTGCGCAGAGCTGGGGAAGGATTCCCGCCCCCAGGCACTGAGTTCTTGCTCGTGGTAAATCAACCAAGTTTCTCAAGGTAGCAGTTATCTGGGATAAAAGCATGTTTGGACCATTTTTAAAAACTGGAAATATAGCTGTACTAAGCAGTGCAACACAATTCGTCCCACAAACTTCATTAGAGTAGCAGGTAAACTAAGTCCCTGTGATGATTCTCCCACTAGAGGACATGGGACTAAGGACAAGTAGCATGAAATGAAAACAAAGACTAAGTTGGCCAACAGAAATAGGCAATTAGCATACCAGAGCTCAGGACTAAACAAACTGACACTTGGGTTTGAGAACAGTTGTAAGGTCTTCAGGTGACCCTGTGATAACCACATCAGTTCTACAGATTTGGAACTGCTTTTTTTTTTTTTTAATGTATTTGATTGTTATAGTGTTTACACAGCTCGGACCCATAGTGAGCTCCCTGTTTTCAGCCTCCCCAGCACTGGGATGATAGGTGTGTGCGCCACTACACCCAGACTCTGTGGCCCGCTCAGCTGACCCTGGGAGCAGGGCTGGCATGCATGTGGTCCACAGGATCCAATGCGGTCCCTGTGCTTGCCTAAGCTTGCCTAAGCAGGCGCTTTAGTTCATTGAGCTATCTCACCAGCCCCAGATTTGGAACTTCTCACTGAGAAGTTATGATAAGAAGCATGAGGCAATGATGTGGCCAAAGGATATTTAAGGCTACAGACTTAGGCTCTTCTGAGAGGCAAGCCTTCCCCTTGACCATGGACCTACAATGTAGTCTTTGAAACGAAGGAGCAGGCCTTTTGTGACCACTAATAAACCACTCTAGGAATTCCAGAACCGCTGCTAGCATAAAATGGAAAATTGGCATCATCGGACCTGGCTCTGCCTGTTCTTCTGAGACAGTCCAGGCACTCAGGCATTCCTGGTTTACCTGGATCCAAACGATGACTCACACACTTTCCTCAACAGAAACCAAGTGCACAAATGCACCAGCGAGTCCTGACCTGAACCCCGGTGGGTGGAAACATGGAAGGTCATGGAGCACCCATTCAGACCCTGAGCATGCACACAGTTTCTTTTTTCTGGTTCCAAGGGCTTCAAAGATTGGGCTCCCCAACCTCCAGTCTTGCCCCCTCATCTACCATCCAACAAGAGACACTGTCTGCAGAGGGAACCATCATTTTCTAATGAGCTTTTTAAAAAAAATTTGTTTTGGCCTCTTGAGCCTTTTTCTCACTTTTTTCAAAAAGGTAAGGACAGTTGGGGGGTCTTCTGTCCCTGATATACTAGTTTGATAAGTCTGAAACCAGGAGCAGAAGCACATATTAGTATGTTATGAATCACCTGATTTAAGCCCCCATCCATTCACCGTGCATAGAACTTTGTACAGAGTGCGTGTAACTTGATGAGGAGAACACAACACGTGGAGCATTTCTAAACTTGCCAGCTGTGGTGCTGGTAGGAAAAACCCACACAAAACTTGTACCACCAATTGGGCAAGTACCTAGTAACATCTCAATCTATGACATCTATGACAACCATTAACTGCTCAAGCCCTCGAAGTCCTAGACTCCTGCCTCGTGATCTAGCCATTGCTCCCAGGATAAGATTCCGTGCCCTGGCTGTGGCCAGAAGGCTTTGCACAGTCTGGCTCTTACCAAGCCCTTAAGCTTTCTCTCATCCCACTCTTCTCTGCAGCCACGCCATTCAAGGCTGCATGTCCTACTTCTCCCCAAACATCTATCGGTGAGGCATGGGCAGATGGCTGTTGTCTACCTTGTTCATCTTTTTATCCTGACCCACAGGTCCAAGGCCAGTGCCTGGCTCACACTTCTCCAAAGGGAAGAGTGGCGTGAACAGACAGGTGAGGACCTCAGAAAACTGTGAGGTATGCAAACCATACTTCCAAGGCAGTGAGAAGAGGGTGTGAGGAGCAACAGCAGTTTTGAAAAGTGCTGTAGGAAAGAAAACTGGACCTCTTCCAAGGAGGTGGTTCCCTACTTTCTATCATTCCAGGCAGCAACTTTGAGACTGCCCACCCCCTGCCTCCCTACAGCTGCCCAGACACCTGCTCCTCCTCTTTTCCATCTCTGGTCCCTGTACCTTCATTCCTCACCCAAACTCTGGTACCCTGAGTAGGCTCCTTCCTCGGTCTCCACATGACCAGCTCATCTCTCCACAGGTCTCTGCTGGCAAAGCCATCTCATGAAGCAGCCTTCCCTGCCCAAGGCCCTCCTCCAAGGTCCTAGGGCAGTGTGCACCAGCCACATCCTAAAGGCTCTTCACTCTCTGAGGCCCCTTCTGCCCTTCTGAGCTCACCTCCTCCTGCTTCCCTTGACCCACCCTTCCTCAGACTCCACACCACACGATCTCCTCAGGCTGTCACAGTCCTACACCTGTGAGTGGATAGCTTTCTCCACTCCTTGTGAGCCTCCTGTCTCTTCCTACTGGTGACCCTTGCTCACTCCAAGGACCCAGTCAGGTTCACTCCTCTGGGAGACTGCTCAATAGTCACGGATCACTTCTTCTTCTGTGTCAACAAGCAGGCTCTTATCCCTGCTTCCCCCATCACAGAGTAGCCAGGGTTTCATACACCCTCCCCATACTGGGTTCTCTAGTGCACAGTTCTTTATTCTTTCTATACAGAGGGCAATAAAGTGTGCAAATAAAAAGCTCTTAAGATGTTTAGTTGCTGGCTGGCTTTGTGGATGAAGCTCAGAAGGCGAGAGCCAAGGGAAAGAGGGGGAAAAAGAAAGGAGGGAAATGGAGGAGGAAGTGTCCTCCTTAAAAAGCCTCTGGAAGAAGGTTCAGAGGATTAGCACAGGTCTGGGTGGACCAGAGTTTAAGGCCCTGAGTGAGAAGTATCTAGAAGAGGCCCCCAGGCAGATGCAGACCGTAAGGCCCTCACTTTGAGGGCTGCCACCAGTTCCTGTGGGTGCCCACTCTCACTGCCAGGTGGGGGTGGCTTGTGTTTGCTCAGATCAATGGATTTTTCTGGGGAACAACAGATATAGACAAAAGGGTTGGAGGACAATCCAGCTACATAATGTGGCAGCAGCAAAGGCAAGCTCCCGGTCATCCGCTTAACTCTGAACTTTGCTTCAAATGATGAGTTCATTGTATATAAGTGAAAACTGAAAACCAAACATGAACTCTTATTCGAATATAGATACATGTGAGGAGACCACTGATGAGTCCTGCAGCGGTCTTCACAGTGTTTGACCCCCTCAGGAGAGCCATGCATTGGGCCTGCTCGGGGGCAGGTGCTGACCAAAGTCCAGGTTTAGAGAATAAATACAGAGTTTAACTTTCCACTCTAATCTGTATTATTCACGATTCTACTTAGATGCATTTTTTATTGTACGTAATCTTTTAAGCAACTTTAAATCCTTTACTTACAAAAAGCATAAGTTAAAGGAACACATAGATACTTGTTTAGCTTCTAAAGGACTTAACTGGAATAATTCCCAATTCAAGAAAATTCATTTCACAAAGAAATAGTGAAATGAAAAACATGAGTTTTGATTCTTTTTTTTTTTAATTACTGGAATTTTATTTGCCTCAGGCTTGTGACTTGCAACCAAAGGCATTGTGCAAAGAAAGCAAAGATTAAGTACTAAAGACTTTAGGGAGATGGAGACAATACACATTGGTGACACAGGAAATCAGGTTAGTAACTGATTTTTTTTTTTTTTTCTGGAACTGGGGCTTGAACTCAGGCCTTTGCACTTGTCAGGGAAGTGCTTATTCTACTGAGCTATCTCCCTGGCCCCGAGTTTTGATTCTTGGTTCTTCCCATCTCCTAATCTGCAATGATGTGGGACAGACACACAGAGACAGAGGCAATCAGTGGGAAGAAGGAAAAAACAGAAAGCACAAGTGACAATGAAGTGGATTAATACAAATCTGACTGCCCCTGCTTAGTAGTTGTGAGATCATGTTTGGGACAAAAATAAACAATAAAAAAAGACGTGCGGTTTTGTCAGTATAATCCAGGAAAAAGCATTTCTTTGTGATTCTGGTTACTAATTTGTTGAAACATGACTGAGTTCTTAGGCAGCCATGTCTTTGTCCTTTGTGTTCCTGATCCTCAATCAGCCTACCTACCCTGTGAGTTTGACAGACCGGCCTGCCTCATATTGAGTTAGTTTAATTTGAAGTTCTCATTGTGAAGTCAGCATTGGGAGGCCCATTTTAAATCAAATTTTCTTGCCTATTTATCTTTGAGATACGACCTCACTATGGTGTTCAGACTGGCCTCCAGTTCTTGATTCTCTTATCTCAGCCTCCTCCTGAGTGCTGGGATTATAGGTGGGCACCACCCTGCCCAGTGGAAGATCCATTTAAAAAGGAAAAGTTATTCTAAGAAGAGATTATATAATTTTTAAAGGCTCACACACCATTTTAATAAGTAGAATTAGAACCCAAAAGAGTTATCATCTATTTTTTCAAATTGAGAACTTAATCATGAATTTCAATTTGTATTTTCAACTCTGAATTGAAAAACTTTAGTAAACATAAGAAAATTTTATCTTAAAATCTGTGCACCCTAACTGGGATTGTAGCATAGGCCCAGCAACTGTGGATCTGTCTATTCCTGACCTCCCCCAAGGCTGTGGGCAGATGCAAGACAGACAGTCGCTGAGGGGGCCTGAGTCTCCACATACTGCCCACTTCCATAGCAATGACCCCCCCCCCTTGTGCTCTTTCTCTCTCCAAACTTCAGTCCCCAGGAGATTTGTTGAATGCTGCCCTGGATCCCAACCAGCCATCAGCGCTATCCCAGACCACAGTTGCTTAGAGTTCACTGTGGACTCTCATTCAGGAGCAGCAGAAGTTAAATAGACTTCTTAGCCAGGCCAGAAGCTTCACCAACCATTGTGACACTGTTTTCTGGAGAATCAGTTCTCCGGTTCCAAAAAAGTTTCAAAGAAACCAACCGAACACGATGCAACTGAAAACTGCGCCATTAACAGGCTGGAAGATTACTATCCTTCCTCAACCTGAACCAGCATTAAGATTTTAAGTTTTATATATCAAGTGCAATTATGTTTGTATATTAAGCAGTT